GACTCTTTGAAGAGTCGCCATGTCCAGTTTGGCTATTACAACTCTCCGCAACCATCAGCTGATCAGGACAAGGGAATTTACCATCTAACACTTGCAGCCGCGTGTAAAAATCCTTTTTATCGTGCCGTTTGGCAGTTGGTGTTAGTGCTTAAAAGGAGAAGAGAAAGATGTTCGGAAAATGACTTACGCAGAATATCCAATAATTAACTAGTTCCCATGGAAGTGGTTCGGTTTGCTTGTTGCGAAGACAACCTTCAGAACAGCCGTGGGGGTCAGTATTATACAGGATGAAGTATGAGTTGACTTTTCCGTTCTTTTTCCCGACAACCTAAGTCAGGAATTCAGACTTCAGACGGGCAACACGCATCCACATTATACTAACGAAGATAGTTCGCCAGCATACTTTGGGTACCAGAGCCTAGGAATGTTCGCAAAATCCGACATCCAATATCAAGAGCCCATTCCCTGTCAGGTAGTGCAACTGGTATACTACTAGCTCACACCTCCGGACTAATGTTGCAGAGCGTGTCGGTTACTGCGGACACTGTAGCATGGATCGTAATACTGTAGTCAGACATATTTTTATGAAGTTTCTTGGAAATTGTGAGAAAAAGTCTGTCGCCAACAGCCGCTGAGATGGTTTGTTCGAAGTTGTGTCCTCTAGCACTTTGGCTCAATAACCTAACCGCTTGGCAGCAGTGGTAAGCGGACTTGTTTAACGGCTGTTTACAGCCGCCATGTCACAGTGCCGTAATCAGGCCCTGCACCATTTCGTAAGGCTGTCAGCTTGTCAGTCCTCCGTGCTCTGGTTGCACTGTCTCTGCAGGTCCGCGACTGCTTATTCCTCGGGCCCGAGAGTCCGCTTATTTCGCAGCTACTCTTCACCGAAGTTCCTTTCACTATCCGCTACATGTAGACGTGCCGGGTAGCCAGATGCCAGTCCAAAATTGCATTTCTTTAGGGCCTATGCTAGTACCGATACTCTTATGTTAGGGAACTGCCAGCGGTGTTTTCTCACAACTGCCTCATTTGCATATATGCTATAAACGTTTAAACCATACTCTGGGTCACGTGTCTCGAGCAAGAACTGGTTCGAGTGCTCGCAGTAATATCAAAAATCCCATTTATTCGTTAGTAACACTGCGTTAAATCTAGGAGTGTGTCTGCGCACAACCTGCAGTGGCGAAACCGTTCCGTTACCTACGTCTGCTACCCATTTAGGAACTATGGCCTCTACTTATCTGGCACCATAGAAGTAATACACGCAAGCTACTGTCAGACAGCGTCATGCACATTTTCCTATTCGTCGATGCACCTATCGAAAACCTTGTCATATCGCATGCGGCAGTTGCTCTGCCGTATTTTGATTAACTGACCTAGCCACTTACAAAAACTGGACAGCCAAGCTTGCTTACTTCATTCATGGGAACGCCCACTCAAACTTCCCCTGCTACAGCAGATACAACAGTAAACAGATGTAATCGAAGATTTCATAATCAACGTAGTTGCTTATGTGAACAGATTTATCCTACAGTTTGTCCATAAATACAATTAGTGACGACACACTGTGCCTTTTTAAAATCCTGAATAGGTGAATGAATGTGCGTGGACCGTGTGGACAGTAAAAGTGGAGGCGACGTAAGAGTATGTTGACTAAATAGACAGAATTGTCGAGCCGTTTGCCGTTGACAGTGGTGCAAGGGGTGTTGTTTTCAGTGTCGGGTACCGAATGATGCATGATTTCCGCTTTATCCCTGTTGATTGTCAGTCCAACGTTTACGCAGCTGGTGACAAAAGGTCTATACGCCGTCGCATATCTGTTTTTTGTCATGGTGTTGAGTACGCATTCGTCCGTGAAGAGCAGGTCATGAACAGTTGTAGTGGATAGATGCGTTGGGGCCTGCATGTACCGGTTATTGAGAAGATGCCCCTCAGTTCTGCAGACAATTCGGATCCCAGGACACTCATCGCCGTAGGCATCCATCAGCATGGGGGTTGGCGCTATTATACAGCGCTGCTTCACTCTATTAGTCACCGCGCATGCTTCTGTTTTGAGGAATTTATAGGACACAGCTCGGCCACAATACCCAAAAACTTTTCTGTCTATTTAATATGCCTGCAAAATTTTTATCTTACGAAGGATTGGCAGCGTTCTCCTCGGTGTGCATGTAACCGCCGATTTTAACGGTGAAATTTTCATGATTTTCGTCGTCGACTTGCTACTTTTCAATAGCCCTCCTCAGATACTTAGAACCAGATGCGCTTGTGTTTTTCATTAACATGATCGCATTTGACAGCACTCACGTTGTTTCATATCTGCCATAGTACTATTGTCCCATGTTTCGCGTTGTGTTCAAATTTCTATTAGAACGTGCTAGCTGAATTAGAGGGAACGTGGTTTGCGCAGATGAGGCTGCAAGCAAAAAAAATGAGACGGTATCTTAATAGAAATATTAATAATCGAGGTAATCTTGAGTTATAATTGACTATCGTTAGATTATCCTAATCTTTTGTAGGCTGGCTTTTTCGAGACTTCATCATTCTCTTTTATCGACTAGACCTGGCTTTTGTAAGCAAAGTTTGCACTAGTAGATGAGCAGACAGCATGCCCAAAATTTTGCTTCTCCGTCTGTGCTCGAAACTACCCCAAATAATCTGTCATCCACTGGATCGCTTCTGGAATTTGCATAGAAACGGGAAGAAGTTACTTTACGTGTATCGGCGAGCAAAAACTCACTTCCTACACTTTTCGAGCACAAGCGAAAAACCCACCGAAATGTTATCTTTGAGCTTTGGCGACAGGCTGGTAGAAGTGACAATTGCCGGTTTGGTAGCTAATGCAGTTCACGGGCTGGTCCCCCTGTCTGAGCTTGCAGGTAGAAGCATTTCGAAGTCTGGTTTACTTACGAGAAGTTGGTATATCTGCGCTTTCACAGGGGATCTCGTTATAGGAATTTTGCGCCCCTATTCAGGGGAGTGACACCTTCAAGGTAGTATACTAGGTTGAATCGCGTAGCCGAGATGGCCTCTAACTTCAAGCATTACCCCCTTCTAACTGTACTTTTTTTCTATTCGTCAAGGTCTGTTCGTGTTTAGCGAACTTTTTGACCACCCGCTAATCAAATCTCTTGATGAAAAGGATGCTTCCCACGATTTGGCCATGCTGCGATTGTTTTGCTATGGCACCTACAATGACTACAAGGCGGCTAAGACCTCTTACCCTCCGTTGACTCCTCTCCAAGTACGCAAACTACGTCAGCTGAGTATTATCTCCGCCTGCTATTTACAAAAACTCATACCATACGACCATTTATTGCAAATGCTGGAACTCTCATCTCTGCGCGAGCTGGAGGACCTTATCATAGAACTGTTCTACCTTGAAGCCGCCTGTGGCAAGCTGGATCAACAGAAGGGCCTGCTGGTTGTCGAATCGGCCATAGGACGAGACCTTCGTGAAACTGAGGTGCCATTTTTTTTACTAATGCTTTATATTGTCGTCACTCTCGCCGTTGCATTCTGCTGGCAGTTTCTGTGTGTCCCTTAAATCGAGGCCCATTATGCACAAAATTAAATTCCTTCTAGACCTACCTGACACCTTCATTGCCAATTTTTAAGAGGGGCATTTCAGTTTATTTGGTGAAGATAATAAACAATGCCTTTGAAAACCCCATTGTTTACATAGCCGTGTGTCATATACATCTGTACACGAAAGCTTTAAAATGGTCACTTTAACGTGCTATTCACAAATGACTCTTGACTCCAGTTCGTGTGGTGTTAGTTCGAGCCCAGACTGTGCTTTCACTTGCTGGTAAATGCTATTTCTTCCATCTTCAGCTACCTAAGTTGCGCTCCGACCTCGAGGCTTGGTGCAACCGTGTGGATGTAGTGGTCAGCGAGGTCGTCGGCGAAATGGAGAAGGCAAAGAAGATAAAACATGATTGGGAGCTGGGTCGGACCGCACTTACGGAGAAGATCAACCTGCTGAATTCCTTAGGCAAAAAAGACGCCGGCAAATTTGACGTAAGTCAAGGCTCTGCGCTCCCTTTTTGCTATTATTTTAAAAGTCACCTACATGCCTCTGTCGTAGGCCGCCGTTCCTCACTTTATTGTAAACAAGTGGAGCAGTTCTTGACTGTCGTCCTTGTTTTGAGTCTATACTCTTGTATATCATAATGGAAGCATTTTCACGGGTTGTCTGCAGTTCACTTGATGGATTGGTAGTTGGCGCGCTAGTCGTAACTTCTTAAAAAGCATACATTTGTAGTCTTTTTAGGATATTTTACCGTAAGCCAGAGACTCCTGGAAGGCCTTTTCTGGCTTATTTGCCGTCATCAACAGGAGACACTACTCCAGTGTAGCAGCGGAAATTGCCGCCACCCTCGAGTTTCGAACCCGCGTCTCTCCGGTCAGAGGCGAACGCCCTATCCGTCGAGCTATCGGGCTCAACGTCTTGACGGTTGTTGATCGGGACCATACACTAGTAGATAGGCGTGCCCCGATCAGATACAGGACACAACCGCCCTGGTTTTTTATGTCCAGTGGGTTCGGATACGCCCAAACCTTTGCCACATGGCTAATTGTAATGCTACTTACTAACTTTCAGTAACATTTTTGTTATTTTTAGGACATTTTACCTTAGTTTTTCTATACATATCTACAGTAGATTGTATATCTGATGCAAGGTTGGGGATAGGAGAATTTAACGCACACTTGAGGTTGT